AAATTGCCCTTCTCCAATCTTGTGATTCTCCCATTAGCCACAATCTTTCTTTTAAAAATATATATACTTTTTTATTATAGACTTAACAGTGAACAATAAATACAAACATTTCAAAATTCAAAGAACAGGAAAAAGGGCTGTATAAGAACTAATAACTTTTGTTACTTGGCTTTTTAAGTACCTATTAAATCTAGTAACCTGTTTATCTCTACTTGTAAAATAATGTCACCCAGAGAGGGTAAGAGGCTGACCCTTGGCCACAGGTGGCTGTTATCTCAAAACTCCCAGGGGATGCTAGCTGGGGAAAGAAGTCAGCTGTGCCCCCAAATCAATCAGTATCTACTGTGTATCAGTGCCTCCAAAGCATAGTCCTTTATAATTTTGAAGGGGAATGGAGTCACAGAGTTTAAAAAGATGATATTGTTCATGATAGACCACCCCCACCAGTTATCTAGATGCCCACTGCCTCGATTTCCTTATCTAGAAAATGGGGGGAAAGCATATTTGTGCCACCACCTCCCTGCAGGACAGCCCTGAGGAAAATTCTTTAATGCAGCAGTGTGAAGTGAATGAGTCAAGTGGTTATTACACCTTTGGGTTTACCCCAACTAAAGAGCTACTGAGGAGGATATGGTAGCCATCTCCAGCTATCTGACAGGTGTTCATGGGGCAGAGGGAACTGGCTTTTCTGCTTGGCCCCAGACTTCCACCTAGGCTTAATGTAAGGAAAATCTTCCTAGCCATGGAACTCTCTGAAAGTGGAATGGGCTGCCTATGACATGTCCTAGAGGACTGCAGGCAAAAGCTGAGGAAAAACCTAGATGGTCGGGATGGCTTTGAATTTCCCCCACTAGGGTCCCTTCCCCCCATTTTTAACCACCTAGTGTTCATCTTGGGATTGTCTCCTTGCTTCTGTCTTCGTTTCTCCAGAGCTTACATGTACCTAGTATGTAGTAAGTGGTTAGTAAATGTGGATTGAGTGAAGGGATTCTTGGCAAATACACACTGGACTGAGTGGCCCTTGAGTAGGGCCATAACTGGGGCCAGTGGTGAGTGAGGACTTTGTTCCAAGAGACCCAGTTTAGGGGAGTCTGGCAGTATTTGGAGTGCTTTGGCAGAGCAGAAACCAGAGATTCAAACTTGGCTACCAAGAATATCTGTTGAAATAAGAAGCTATGAAAGGATGAACCAGCTGGGTTTCTCCCTGACCCTGCCTTGTTTCCTCTAATGACAAACAATAAATAGCATTTGTGTTTACTTACCTTTGTGTAGGAAGAGAAAAAGACTATACTTTACTACCGTGTCTACTCTGTGCCAGGCAGTGAAAAGCCTTTACAAGTATTATTATCACATTGGATCCGTATAACAACTGCGGTGGGGCGGAGGGGAGAGACTTACTCTTATCTTCATTTTGCAGATGAGGAAACTGAGACAAACAGGGTTAAATGACTTGCCCAGGGTGGTACAGAAGTCAGATTTGAACTTGGGTCTCCCTGACTCAGTGCAATGTTCTATCTACTACACCTCCTAACTGCCCCTCCTCTACCTCAGGTCCCAGAATGGCCTGCCAGGCATCCTCCTAGAGACCTCCATTTACCTTCTAGCACTGAGAGTGCTTTTTGGCACCTTCCTCCTGCCCTGGATGGATGCAATTTGCCGTCCTTAGAGGCAGAGGTCATTCAGTGAGTCTGTAAATGAAAGAGCTATTAGAACAAAATACCTGCCCATGCCCTGGTTAGATTAAAGCAGAGACCTTTGGCCCAGATATCACCAATGACAACGATGAATTCCCTCCTCACTTAGATGGGCTTGTGCAACGTCTTCCAATTATCCTGGACTGGCTCGAGTGCCCCAGTGGATGAGGTCACAACGATTACAGGACTGTGAGATAAAATGGGATGGAGATGAGGACCAAGGCTCAAGTGCTTTAATAAAGGAAGAGGGTCCCCACCTTCTTGGTGCCTAAACTGCCACCTGATAGAACATCTGCCCAGACGCTGACACAGCCTCTTTGCTGGGCCCCCGGGGGGGGGGGGGCTGCGGAGAGGAGCCTCTGCCCTGGACAGAATGCAGCCTGATGATTAGGGAAGGGAATAAATGTCTAACAGCCCTGAGGGCGGAAGACTCCTTGGGGGAGACTAGGACTTCTAGCACATCCTTCTGGCAGAACCCGGAAACCTCAATTAGCTGTAATTAATAATAATAATAATAACAACAACCAGTATTTCTACAGTACTTTAAGGTTTGCAGAGCCCTTTCTGTGCATCTTAGCCAATGCTCCCAACAAACCTATGAGAGAGATGCTATTCTTTTCCCTGCCTCCCTCGGGGCAGGCGGGCATCTTCTCTGAAGCTGAGCCTTAGGGAGCTGCCCAAGTCCTGAGAGATTAAGCCACTCATCAGGATCAGGCAGAGAGCATCCAAAATTCAAGGCTGGCTCTCTAACTACTATGTCAGGATGCCTATACGGTGACATAGTAACACCACCAATAGCAAACTTTTAGATAAAATTCTAAGGCTTACAAAACTCTTTACAGTTGATCTTCACAAGCTTGTGAGGTATTTTTATCCCCATTTTATGGATTAGCAGACTGAAGCAGAGAGGTTAATCCACTTGTCCATGGTCATGAAGCTAGTAAGTATTTGAGGAGAGGTTTTAAATCAGGGCTTCCTCATTCTAGGTTCCAAACTTTAGCCACAATGCCACCTCTAAAATGAGCTGCCTCATTTATAGATGATAAAACTGAGCCCAGAGAGTTTAAGAGATTCCCTCAAGATCATACACCCAAGGCAGTCATTGGCAAATATTCCAAATCATGTCCTCCTTCTCTTCTCCATTCAATCCCCTTCTTACTACAACTCATTTAGCCTTTAGGAACAGTAGATAGAACACTGAGCCTGGAGTCAGGAAGATCTGAGTTCAAATCTGGCCTCAGACATTTCTTAGCTGTGTTATCCTGGGTAAGCCACTTCACCCTGATTGATTCAATTTCCTCATCTGTAAAATGTGAATAACCATTACACTTCCTTCCCAGGATTGTTGTGAGGATCAAATGAGATAATTGTGTGGTGCTTAGTTAGCACAGTGTAGGTGATAGCACATAGTAGGTGCTATATAAATGTAGTTATTGTTAGTATTAAGCCACCACTCCAAGGGAAGAGAGGTGATGGTCCTGGCTGTGGAGAGGATTGATGCAATATATAAGGCAGCTAATAACCCAAGCCAGAGAAAAATGCCTTCATTGTTCCAAATGCCATCAGCAGCAGCATCCTCTTCTCAGCCAGCAGCCACAGTGATTCCAGGCTCACCCCCATGCTCTCCTTTCCCTGTGCTCAGGAAACTGGCTGTGCCATTTGCCATTCAATGAAAACAGTTTCGGATGCACTAGGGAGCCTGGTTAGCATTCTCCATTAAAGATTCCGCTTTACCCCCATCTCTCTCCTCCATAAAAGGGAAAACAAATCAACCTCTCACAGCACAGACCATGTCCTGCATGAACAACAATTCCAGGCATTCAATACCAACTTCCTCTAAAGTGCATTGCCTGAAATTATAGGCAGCTTAAATTATACAGAGGAAATCATACATCTGAGACCCTAGTGAATACCTTTCCTTTTTACCTTCAACGTCTGTTCAATAAACATTTATTAAGTGTTTGCTGCGTGCAGAGGCAGCTTGGCCGAATGGATAGAGAGTCAGCCAATCAGTCTCCATCCTCATCATCATTTTTAGAGAGGTCACATCGAGGAGGGAAGAGATGGAGAGCTGGTCATGGAGCTGAGAAGGTATGTTTGCATTTAGTATGCAGACAGAGACAGAGACAGAGAGAACTTGGCAGAGTGGACATAAAGTCAGCCAAAAGGACCTGGATTCAAAGTCTACCCCTGATGCATGCTCGGTGTGTAGCTCTGGACAAGCCACTCTGCTCTGGGCAGCTCTCTAAAAGGTGCCAGCCTGCACTGGTGGAGGAAGATCCCCACCTGGGAGTTCTCTATCCTAGTGAAATCACAGCTTAAGGCCTGTCCCTTCTTTGGGCTACACCCTGGGAGAGGTTAAAAGTTTAGATGAGCTAGGATCTCTGCCTTCATGCAGCTTACAGTCTGGTAAGGGCTATTCCTAGGGTCACACAACTAAGTATCTAACTCCACTCAGCAAACCATCCCTTGTAACAGAGAGAGAGAGAGAGAACATTTCAGCAAAGCTAGCAATACAGAAACTTAGTCTGACAGTATATACAATGATCCACCCCCACAGTCCCCTACCTCTTCAAGAAGGGGAGGTATGTACTCAACTCCGACAAAACAATTGAAATGGAATGCCGCAAAATGACAATGACTGAGCTCAGTCCCAAAGAGGAGACTAGAAGGCACTTCTCCCAACTCCTTTGCAGTGAACTCTGAGTGGGTAACCCTGTGTGTGTCAGACTCCCTCCCTCGCTCTGCCTCCTGACCTCCCCAGCTTCCTCAAGTCCCAACTAAAATCCCACCTTCTATAGGAAGCCTCCCCAACCCCTCTTAAATCCAGTGCCTTCCTCCTATTAAATATTTCCTAGTTGTCCTGTATATAGCATTTTTTACAGTTGTTAATTATTTCCTATTTATCTATGTATAGATATGTATCGATATGTACAGATGTATAGATGTACAGAAGTACACACACACACACACACACACGTAGCTTGCTTTGATTATTTGTTTGTACTTTGACTCCTGCTTGAGCTCCTAGACAGCAGGGGCTGTCTTTGGCCTCTTTTTGTAGTCCACAATACCTGGCACATTGGAGACCCTTAATAAAAGTTGATTGATTGACTGATTGACTGTTTTGTTCAACTGACTTTTCCCTCTCGTTTTAATTTTTTACTGTAACAGATTTCTTCCTGGGATGGGGTAGAGCTAGGTTGGAAAATGTAGGCGCTACCCAGACAAAAGATAGCAGTAAAGTTTATTCTCTAAAAGTAAGAGGAACCAAAGGAAATCAAGTGTGTTTCTTCTTTCTTCCAGTTTGATGCCGACCGCAATGAAGACGAGGTGTTCTATGACATCAGCCTGGCTGTCGGCAGCAAGTTGTTCCCACCCACAGAGGCTGTAGCAGGTATGTGACTCAGAGCTGGTGGTGATCAATCCCCTCTGTTGCAGTGATCACCACTGTCTGTCCCAGTCAATGTCTCCATTGCGATGATCGCCTCTGTGGCTTTCATTCAGTTTGGCATAGATGCCCAGGCCCAGCAGACTGCCACAAGGTCTTAGGTCCCAAGCTTCACTCCTGAGCCCAGTCAGCTAGAATGTCCTCTTATCATTCCTTTCAGTCATCCATTCAGTCTGTCACTTTGTTGAGGAAAAAAAATACTTATCAAGCATCTATTGTGTGCAAATCACTGGTTAAAACACTTCCATTGAGGTGCAGAGGATAGAGCACTGGATGTAGAGTCAGGAAGATCTGAGTTCAAATATAGCCTCAGACACTCATTAGCTGTGTGACCCTGGGCTAGTCACTTCACCTCTGGCTGCTTCAGTTTCTTCATATGTAAATGGGAATGATAATAGGACTTACCTCCCAGAGTTATTGGGAAGATCCAATGAGACAACTCGTGTAAAATTCTCTACAAAGCTTTAAGGCACAATATAAATGTTAGCTATTATTTTATCATCATTACTATTATTACTAAATATGGATAACCCCACCAAGGCTCGTGCTCAGCCCCCTTTTCTCTCTCTACATTCCGTCACTTGGTAATCACCTTAGTACCTATATTCCACTTTGACCATGACCTCTATGCAGATGACTCATAGTTTTACATCCACACCCTCAACCTCTGCCCAGAGATGCCAGCTCTACCAGTCACCTCCACTTCCAAAAGGGACTCATTCTCTTCCCCCCACCCCAGCCCACTTCTCATTTTTCCTCCATTTCCTTCAGATTCATATTGTAACTTAGATGTAGAGGACAAAACTAGGAGCAATGAGTGAAAGGTATATAGAAGAGGGTCTGGGCTCCATAGAAAAGACAACTTCCTTCCTGCCAATGGAGCTGTCCACAGGTGGCACAAGATGACCCTCCTCACTGTTGTGGAAGGGATGCTTGACCAGACCTTCTGACCAGAACTGTACCTGACCAAGAAGTCCCTCTACAGCAGATCCAATAAACCACCAGATCATGCCACTCATTAGGAAGTTGTCCATTGCATTGAGGCAAAGTCTACCTCTTAGTGCCTTCCAGCCAGCATTCCTCTAAAGTCAAGCAGATTACATCTAATCTCTCATCCACAAGACAGTCCTTCAACTATGTGAATACAGCCAACCTGACCCTTCTGAGCCTCCAAACTAAATGTCACCAAATCCTTCAGCCAAATTTCATAGGATTTAAGACCAAGACCCTTCACCATCCTGGTCATCTTCTGAATACTCTCCACTTATGAGTGTAACACCCCACTCTAGTTTCAATATGAGTATAATACCCACTCTAGTTTCAATCCCCCAACCCTCACTAGCACTGGAAGCTTGGATCTTCAGAAGGGTGGCTATTCTGATTGTCAGGGGTCTGTGGGTGGTTAACCTCCTAACACTAGCTTGTGAGCCCCCACTAGTGTGCTTCCCTTTAACAGTCAGTCAATAGACTCAGCTGGTCCTTTACCAAAGGCATTCACTCAAATAGCATAACAAGAACATGAGTTACAAAGCATTTTCCACTAAATCAGACATACGCTTTCTCCAAAATACATAGAATCAGTGGGAGGGGGGAAGAGTGGGCACAAACTTAAAATATAAATAGTATGAGACACATGTAAAGGGAATACACATGGTCAAGGCTATTCATGACTCAAGAACTGAAAGACCTTAACAGTCATTTTTCTGGGTGATTGTCACAAAGTCAGCTACAGGGAATGACTCTACTGATGCATGAGGTACATCTGTTTAGCTGCTTAGCTGAGCCTGCTCTGCACAGGGCACAGCATCTCTACTAGACAGGCAGTTGAGCTGGGGTTGCTCTTCACGTGGCATAGTGTCTCACCTGGATGATTCAATCTGCTTCTGAGCTAGGTCAAGTAGGTGCCTAGGCTGCTGTGGGAGCTCCCCATCACACTTCACTGCTGCTGGGCTGGGTCAGCCAGATCCCTCATCCTCTGGGCTCTTCACACATTGCAGGAGGGAGAGAGAGAAAGGGGGGGAGGGGAGGGAAGGAGAGGAGGAAAGGAGAGGGAGGAAGGGAGAGAGAGAGAGAGAGAAGAGAAAGAGAGGAGGGAGAGAGAAGAAGAGAAGAGAAGGGAGGGGGGAAGAAAGTGAGAGAGAAGAGAAAGAGAAGAAGAGAGAGAAGAGGAGGAGGAAGAGAGGGGGATAAAGAGGTGAGAAAGAAAGAAGAGAGAGGAAAGAATACAAATACAAGCAAAAGAAAGATAGCCCCTGCCTTCAAGGAGCTTTTGTTCTAATGGGGGAAGACAGCACATACAAAGGAGCTGAAAAGTCAAGGGCAGGAGGAGAGAAAGCCCCTGGGGGCACTGTGGAGAAGTCCAGAGAGTCAGGGGCAGAACAAGGAGAGCAGGGAAGGAGTGGGCATGCCTTACTGAGGCACTTCCTCAAAATGGAGATTCCAGGAAGAACCCCCCCAATCAGAGGAAGGAGCATAGCCCTCTTCCAATCTGAGCCAGCCGGGGGACCTCTTGGTAAACTTGTGTGTGTCATAAACATGTAGGGGCTCCACTTTCAAGGATTGCTACAGAAATCCTTCACTGACCACTCAAAAAATCTGGTCCCTTTGATATCCAGAGATGTGATGAAGACAAATTCATCCTCTGTCTCGACAAAGTGATCCCAAGGCAGCCGCTGGGGCAGGTCTCCCACATCTGGACCCCTCCGGTGCAGGGAGATGAAGTGAGAGGCATGCATACACTGGATCCCAAATAAGCTCACTTCCTTGTCTTGGGTTTGGGACTGACTCCATTCAATTCAGCTCAGCAAACATTTATTAAAACTATGTGCAAAATTCAGTTCTGGGCACAGAAGATACAAAGATGCAAAAACCAAAATGCCCTCAAAGAGGCGATATTCCAATGACTATGGAATAATTTCAATGGGGAGAGAGGGCTAGTCACTAGGGGATCAGAGCAGTGCCTTGAGGGAAGCTAGGGATTCTACAAGATCCAGATGAGGAGGGAGGGCATTTCAGCCAGGGGGTGCCACCCAGACAATAGCACTGAGGCAGTCATTCTCTTCTCCCTATGGGTGTGGCTAATCTATCATCCTGGTCAACCTGGCCACTGACGATGTCTGGTTTCAAGCCTTATGGTTCCCTTGATTCTGTTTTCATCTTCTCACTCTCCATGGGCCTCCTGCCCATAGCCTCAAGAGCCAGATCCAGCGATGCACTCACTCTCCAGGTTAAATTCTAGCAGATAACACTGAAAACAGGTTGTTGGTGCCTTCTCTCTCAACAAATGCATTAGTTATCAGTCCTGTGGTTGGAAGTGAGGATATGTCCATTTTAGTGGGTGTCTACCTACTTTACCTTGAAAGACAACCCCTAAATCTGAAAAGAAATGGAAGTCATTAATCAAAGAGGGGAGAGGAGAAGGTGGCGGGGACTGCTTGTTTCTCTTCCTTCTAATGCTTTGGACAAGCAGATGTCTCGTGGTAGGCAGCCAGGTGCCTGCAGACATTATGCAGTGTTTCCCATTGCCTATCAACACAAGAATTGTCCTTTTACCCATGTCAGGCCTCGAACTGCTGTCTCAAAACCCATTTGCAACCAACCAAGCCACACATGTTGAGAGAAAAGGCAGATATTCACTCATTATGCTTGGTTATAATGATATTCTTTGGCTGCTGTTCTTTGGCTGCCTGTGATATATCAAAAAAAAAAAAAAAAAACTGTTGCCAAGAGCAACAACTTGTCCAAAGCAAATTCCGCACCACAGTTAAATGATAGAATACAATTTTTATCAAAAGCCCTTTTGAAAGGAAAATTAATGTGTTCTTCTTTGCAGTTATTAATTCTTTAGCAAATTTTTCTCACCTGGCTGCTTCTGACCACTATTCTCTAATCACCCTGTCATAACCTGCAGGGCTAATGTGCAAAACCCAGGAACTAGATTATTTAATTACTTAATTCTCTACTATTGTACTTGATGAAAACAACCATAAGTCAGCAGTTGTTAATTAATAAAGAGGGCAGCTATTTCATAAAAGGCAATGGCTTGGTATTTCACCAGCCTCCTGTGAGTTAATTCCCAATGGATCTGAGTCATCCTACCTGAGCACCATATGCCAAAAGGGAAGGCATTGTTTGAATCCATCAGTCTCACATCACTTAATCTGATCCAGGGGATTCTACCATCCTAACCTAAACTGCTTCCTGGCCTCATCCCCCCAAGTCTGCCAGCACGACTGGTCTTTCAAATGCTAAGACTGTCCATAATCACTGTACTATTGCCAGTAGGATATAGACTGTGTTAAGGGAAGACTAGTACCTCTGGTGTGAAGGCTGCCAAGCCCTTTTCAGGGTTGCTTTCTACCTTTGGTGTCCACCTGATCCACCTAACTCACTTGTGGCTTCAAGCATGCGCATGTGGCATGTAACATGCACAGCAGCCACACCCCAGTAAACTGTTTTGGCAGATGGGCTAAACCAAGTTGGGGGTAACTAAGGGGTCTCAAACTCATTGGTAAGTTAGGGAGTGTCTACCCCAAGCATGTGAAGACTTCCCCCGGTAGAATGGGTGGATGAGAACAATTTGTTCCAAAGGCCATGAAAGCAGCTGAAGAATGTGGAGCACTTAGAGCTTGGTTAGACATCAACGATACCAAGGTCATCCACTGCATCTCAAGCCATCACCAGTCATTTTGACTCTGTCCTGTCACTGGACTGTGATGACTCTGGAAGAGAGAATAAAGCCAATGACTTCGTGCAAATCTGCCTCACTTAAATCCAATTTACGCATGAATCAAAAGACATCACCCTTACCACTTTACCATTTTTACCTATCTCAAAGTCCTGTGGTGACGGGCAAGTGATGAAGCATCTGGTGCAGATACACTGGGAGCTGTAGTCACAATCCTGCACGCAGGTGGCCCAGGCCATAGGGTTCTTCTCACTGAAAG